AGGCTACCATGCCAGGCCTGGCGTGGGAGGGAGCACCTTGTGGAAGTCGTCGAACTGCACGGACGCCACAGCTCCTCGCACCCGGGACGCGATGGCCTTGCAGGCGTCGCCCACAAAGTCCGGCACCGAGAAGAGGGTCGCTGCCTGTGCCGGGTCTGACTGCGGCTTGATGTCAAAGTGCCTGAGAGGAGGAGGGATGGGGGAGGTGAGCAGGGCAGGGAACAGGATGGGCACAAGCACCCCCTTCTGGAGGCGCTGGCACGGGCCGTACCAGTTGTAGGAGAGTTGGAGCTGCAGGCGGGCGTGGTCGGCAGTCTCGATGGTGATGATGTCGGTGCAGAAGTCGGGCCCCAGCAGTAGGCACAGCGCCTTGATGACGTTTGGCCGTTTGGGCTTGTCCCCAGACAGCGACAGCACCGTGAACTGCTCATCTGGTCCCAGCATCACCATCTCAGGCCCGAACACCACCCTGGGGGATGGGGAAGGACCCGGAAACACCGCACCGGCTCAGAGTGGGATAGTGAGATAGGGAGGCAGCGGCAGGGGGGGGGGCGTGTGCATACCTGGCCGTCTTCTCCCTGTAGTCGTACACCTGCACGGCGGCATTGTGGGGCACCCGGTAGGACACCACCCGGGTCTTGTCCCTCGGCATCCTGTCCTCATTTGGACCCCCCCTGTGTGAGCGGTCTGCCAGGGCGTCCCGGCCCGAGCCCAGGAGCGTCTCCACCTTGTCCGGGAGCTCCTTCTCCCACAGCTCCTCGTCTTGGGTCAGGATGTAGGTGTGACCAATCACGGCACGGACCTGATGATATCCATGGGGTAAGGGGATGGGGGGGGGGGCACAGGGCTGGGCGTTAGCTTGTCACCCTCCTTCCCTCCCCTGCTGCCCGTGGTTTGTCGCTTGCTCACTCCAGCTCAGTTGCCCTCACCTTCCCCGTCCTGATGTCCCGCACGTAGATTCCCTCATTCTCGTCCAGTGGGATGGCCTGCCGGCGCATCAGCACCTCCACGGTGACCGGAGGCACATATTCGATGGGGCCCTGCAGCATCCAGCGGTCGCCGGGGCGACGGACCACCCCACCTTTTTTCGACTGGCTCACCCCCTCTTCCTTCAGTTCATCCTCCTAAAAGATGAATATAATATTGGGCATTAAATGAACAGCAGGCTGGGGTGAAAAAGAGAGAAAGACTCTTAAAACCCCCTTCCTCCATCTACCTCTCCCTCTCCTGAATCACCCCCCACCTCCACTGCCTCGGTATCCATGAAAGCCTCCAAAGCCCGGAGAACCAGCCCCTCCTCTGCAGACAGGATGTAGATGTCTTGGATTCCGTTCTCCAGATGCTCGCCAGGCTGCAGGAAGAAGGAGCGCTCGCCCTGGGGGAAGCGAATGGGGTAGGGGGTCAGTGTCATAGACCTTGAGCCATCAGAAGGCAGGAAGGCCATGGCGGTGACTCTCACACCTTGACCACCTTCCGCTGGCCCAGCTGGGGCTTCCCATCACCCCCCACGGGGTCCAGGATGACGCAGTATTGCCGGCTGCTCAGCGTGGTCACATCCACCACACCCACCACCTCCTCGGCCACCGACGGAATGTGCGCCTCGCGATCGGCCACCGTTACCAGCCACTCCTCCCCCGTGCGGCGCTCGCGACCGCCCGCATCGCGGAATGGGCGCAGGGCACGCACATGCAGTGCTTTCTGGGGGGGGGGAAACAAAAAGACAAACGTGAGAGTCAGGGCTGGAGTGACAATGGAGAGAATTCAGCAGCAAGCCCGACACTGACAGAACGGTGGCTCAGGGTTTGAGCAGAGGCCCTGCACGGCCTCCCACGTTGCCTGTGAACGTTCTGTCCTCAATCGAGTTTCTGATTTTGTCACACAGAATAACCTCCTGTACCCTCTCACCCACCCGCTTTCGGAGCCAGACCAGCCTCCTGAATACTGTAGCCACCCCAGGATCTACAAGAGCTGCATTGCGGACATCTCTTCTCATATTACAGCTCCTCTTGTTCAGCTTCTCTCAGCTTAGTGCCACAGGGACGGCTTTTGGTCTGTCTCAATGGCACTGTAGCCTCAATGAGGGACCTTTGGGCGTTTGTCCACCACACCAGGTACCGTACTTTTGGTACTTCAAAAAAAAAAAAAATTTTAAATTACCAAAAAAAGTAGGGTACTTCAAGGTGTTGGTTTTCTACTGGTGTAAAAACTGGTATTGGCGCTGAATGACATCACAACGCAAAGCAGCGTATTTTGTACTGAATTTGAACAATGTAGTTCATTTTATGGCTGGGCGTGGCAAGATATTAATATCAACGTCACATTTTATGCACATACAATTCTTACGCTGCAATGACTGCAAGTTAGCTAGGTTGAGATTATAGAACAAAGGGTTTAAGTTTCCTTAAACCATTTCAGGAAAAAAATATTTAGCAAGATTTGCAGTCTTAATGATTAGGCCTATTCCTTTTCATGACTATCTAGTTCACATTTAAATAATCAATTTAAAATTTACCTCCACTGCTTTTGCAGGAGCGCTGCACGCGTTCTCAGAGACAATCATAAGCATTTTCATCCTTGCCGTTTAAATCACTCCTTGACAGGTTTGTGAGAAATTTTTAACTCCTTTTTTACTTTATAAATGCCCCAATATTTTATTACAATAAAGTCACATCGCGATATTTGAAAATTTCCAATATCCTCCTGAGACCCAAGGAGGAAAGTGCCCTTCAATTTTAGGTTATTTGTCTTTGGAGGAAATAAGACAACTTACAATTTAGATTTTTTACATTTATTTTAATTTTTAATTTCACAGCATGTCCTCTAGTTTACAAGAGGAGTAAATATGTTTCCCAACATCAGTGAAAAGATGGATGCAAAAACAAAATGTCCACTACAATGGACATAAATGAATGGGTGGGGTCTCAGGAGGATATCATACAGCCCTAGAATTTTAATTTAATAAATGACACTTTATTGATCCCTGTGGAGACATTTTCTTCACACACACCCCCCACCCCGCTCTCTGTAGGTAAGTGCAAGCTGGCCGTGAAGGACAGCCACCCGTAGCAGTACCCAGGGAGCTGGGGAGGGGTGCAAGGGCCTCGCTCAAAGACTCGCAGACGTGGCAGGGTCGGGCTCAAACCAGCAACCTTCTGATCACAGACACAGAGGCTTAGCCCACAGAGTAGGCCTGTCAAGCCCCAGTTTCTTGCCTTCCCAGTCACCCCTACATCATCATGCAGCTTGAAACATCAACACCATCTCCATCCAGGAACGCTGGGGCCCTCAGGGTAATGACGGGTCACCTTCTCCATCTTCAGCAGCTACTCCTTAGTAAGAATCCCTTGGCATCACTGGACACGCTTGTATTTTGCATCTATTCCTCACAGTCTACCTAGGCTGGCTCCCTGACAGCTGTGTGCCCGCGATGTGGGCCCTGACTCGCTGGCACGTGCTGGTACAGACTCACCTTGTCGGTCAGGATGAAAGCATTGACGATGTCCATCACCTCCTCATAGACCCCTGGCAGGTATGCTCCCACCTTTTTCACCATCCACTCCTCCCCTGAGTGACATGCAGAAAAGGGACCAATCAGCTGAGAGCTGTAGGTCTGAGTCACACAGGGGCAGGAGAGAAGGTGGGGGTTTGGGCACTTACCTGTGACCCTGTGGACGCCCCCCCTGTCTGTGCCTTCCTTGCGGGCTCGGAGACGGATGGCCTGGTTTTCCCTGATCACCGTGGCCTTCACCGTCTCCAGCACCTCCACCTCCTTCCGGGGTATGTAGGTCCCTGTCACAAAGGGGCCAAAACAAGGCGTGCTTTATTCTGAGCATGCCCACCCGCCGGACACCTGGACTGGCCCATGGGCCGCACCCATACCCACCTGGGCCCTCGAAGAGCCACTCATCCCCAGCCAGCCGCTTCTCGTCATCCTCATCCTCAAAATCCAGCAGCGCCTGGAGGCGCAGTGCTGTGTTTGGGAAGACGATCTGCAGCGGCGTCACGTCCTGGTGGGGAGCCAAGGGTTGCGGAGGTCAGGGGGGTGGGGGGTGATTCATAAAGCATCACAGGTGTCATGAGAGTCCTTCAGGGTCAGATAAGTGATGAGTGGCGGCGGTACGGAGGGGCTCACCTGCTGGATTTGCTCCCCTGGGTAGAGAGGGAAGGGGTCCTGGGCCAGGCGGATCTCCAGGTCGGCGTGACGCAGCTTGGCCTGGCCCAGCTGGTCAAACTGGACCTGGCCTTGGTCATCACGGACCACGGGGTTCAGGACCACGCAGTAGTGGCGGGGGGGCACCATGGTCATGCGCAGGGGTGCGAACAGCACTCTGGGGGAAAGGGCAGGGTACATAGCGGTCAGCATGCCTTCAGATCACCTGCCGGATCTTAACATTCTCTGGACCACAAATGGTATTCGGATTTAATGAGCTTTCTGGTGTCTGTTATTACATGACCGCAATAATCACATAAAGAACTCTGCAATATCCCAGAAGAAGCAGCACGGGAATTTGTGGATTGAGTTATAGTTGAAGTGTGGCAGCCATTTGCCGGGAGAGTGGATGACTCCCAGCCTCCTCTGACCTTTCGTTGTCCTGTCGGATGTAGGTGCGAGGCCCCACCTCCACTCTGGCGATATTCGTATTCTGATCCAGGACATGGATATAGTGGTGGGGAGGAATGCGGATGATTGATTGCTCGACCTGGGTGTCCATATCCTCTGAAGCTTTATTTCCGGACCTTCTCTGTGACATCTCTGCTGGGAAGGAGGACACCGTATTAGCAGAACAAACCCCTCAGATAACTGACGTGTGACATGGCAGCCATGCAAGATCGACGTCAAGGGGCCAGTGCAGAAAAGTCAGCAAGAGGATCTGAAATAGCAGCAGCTGCCACAAAAGCGGCTGGACAAATCAGAATGAGTCGCTGTTCAGCCACATGCTAAACCAAATAGAAATGAACAGACCAACTCAAGCAATCGCTCTGGATCCACAGCAATCCTCAGAAACCAGTTCTACCAGTATCGGTTTAGGTGGATCAACTGTACATGCACTTTTTGACAAACACAAAAAGATAAATGAATAAAAAAAAATTCACACAATGCACGTTGACACTACTCCCAACTACACAAATAGGGTTGGGTCTGGTCTTAAACCAAAACCTGCACTTCAATAAGATAAGCCACTTCTTACAATTCATATTAAAATATGAGATGCAATTAGAGTATTACTATTTATAAAAACCACCATTACTGTTACACTGCTATTGCCGAGGACAGCAATGAGTGTTCACGATTTATTGGTTTATAGGTGTAATAACAGAGTAAGAGAGCAAAGATCAGAAGGATGGGCAGGTTTTAGCAACTGGCAAGTAGCATGATGCAATTGTTTACCTACCTTTACTGGCTGAACAAGCAGGCACTCAGATTCCTGTGTCCACAAACGTTTATCTACTGGGATGGGCTTACCTTGCATGTGATTAAATATCTGTCTTTACTGACCTTTAACAAAACAAAGCCAAACTAATTGGGAACTGATACAATGGTACTGACGTGTTACAGCACGGGTGTCAAACTCCAGTCCTAGAGGGCCGGAGCCCTGCACATTTTTGGGTTTCCCCTCATTTAATACACTTGATTCAACTTCTTGCGTTAATTACCACATAGCTCTTGAGCTGAATCATTTGTTATGGAACAGGGAAAGAACTAAGCTACACACGGTTCCAGCCCCCCAGGACCGGAGTTTGACACCCCTGTGTTACCGCCTCCCTTTGACAATGCAGATACAAGCAGCGCGAGAGCTATCAGTCAGCTTGGACATATAGCTCTGCACGTTAATTTAGCCCAGGGGAACTAAAGATGTTGACGGGAGTGTCTTACTCATTACATATTTGTATGTGTTTGTTTTGCTATTTGCTTCACTTGTACGTCGGTTTGAAGAAAATCGTCTGCTAAATAGACTAAGTCCTGGCATATTTAGGGTTCCGAAAAATCTAAGATGTCATGGTTATTTATAAGAGACCGTCCACTTAACGCAGTGCTGCATTGGCGACACACGGAGCTTAGTAAGGGTATGACTTAATCCTCGCACAGACCGATATAAACGCGTCGTGGCTCGGCGACTTCCGCAAAGGCGTCGCTTATCCAACGATAGCTGGGAAGACCGGGGAGGTAGCACCGACGCAGCGAAGGACGCGGCCCCGACACAGCCTTACTTACCTGCTGGTTTGGGCTTAGACGTCAGCGCAGTAATAGTGAGCAGTTGTGCCGCCCCTAGGCGACAGCCTAGTTCCTTATGTCGAGGAGGCGGAGAAGCGGAAGGCTGCGTCAAGCGTACAACCCCGGGCAGCCTGCAATGTCCGGGCCGGAAGAAAGCCGATCCCCTCCATCACCGCCCCGGTTTATTTACCATACGGGCAGTGATAGGGTGACCAGATAATCCATGTCAGGGAGGACACTTTGAGCAACTTCGGGTTTTACAAACTACTTTCAAATTAAAAGGCTCCTGTGCTCGGCTAAATAGTTCTGCTCATCTTGTGCTTTGACTGGTTTGTTTCCTTGATTGAGAGACTCATCCAGCTAGTTCACATTGACATTAGTGACACATGCATGATTATAGGAGACTGACCAATCAGCACACAGCAAGAACTCAGTGCTCAAGTGAAATCCATGTCTGTTTAATTGAAATGGTTATTTACAATTCCTGTCCTAGCTCAGAGTCCTCTTTTGTATTCAAGTCACTGATTTAAATATATATATATATATATATATATATATATATATATATAAACACCGGGACGGATGGCGGAGCACTGCCACGGGGTCTGTGTATATATATATATATATATAAACATCACAACAGTTCCGTGGACGCGATGCAGCATAAACAGAAAGAAAACCCCCAAGCACAGACCCCGCAGTCTCTCATGATAAGGTCCCCGTACCCGCCGCGGTTCCTTGGTTTCCGCTCGGCTCCACCGGGCGCTCGCCGCCACCTCCCTGGGACTTGATCTAGGACGTGTTTAAATAGCACAAGCTTTTATATAACGAAGGATGAAATGGCTATAGAGGCCCACAGTCTAAAGCATGGGTGTCAAACTCCAGTCCTGGGGGGCCAGAGCCCTGCACATTTTTGGGTTTCCCTTCATTTAACATACCTGATTCAACTCCTTGTGCTAATTACCACACAGCTCTTGAGCAGAATAATTTGTTGTGGAACAGGAAAAGAACTAAGTTATACAGGGCTCCGGCCCTCCAAGACTGGAGTTCGACACCCCTGGTCTAAAGGGACGGCTTCGTGCGCCCATCTCCCTCAAATTATTAAAAAAAAAAAAGTGTCATTCGCCCAGACGGAGTGGTAGAAATTAAATGAATTAGCATGAGGTGAAAGGTCATGTGACTGTATCACAATGATTATAATATCAGATGGACAAGTTGGCAGTGTGGCCACACTGCTGGTCCCATGTCAGTAGGGTGTGCCTCCCAGGCCTGGATAAATTCAGCGATACGGTGTGGAAGGGAGTCATACAGCCGTAGGGTGACCAGATAATCCATGTCAGGGAGGACACCCTGAGCTAGGACAGGAATTGTAAACAGACCTGGATTTCACTTGAGCACTGAGTTCTTGCTGTGTGCTGATTGGTCAGTCTCCTATAATCATGCATGTGTCACTAATGTCAATGTGAACCAGCTGGATGAGTCTTTCAATCAAGGAAACAAACCACTCAAAGCACAAGATGAGCTGAACTATTTAGCCGAGCACAGGAGCCTTTTAGTTTTAAAGTAGTTTGTAAAACCCGAAGTAGCTCAAAGTGTCCTCCCTGACATGGATGATCTGGTCACCCTATACAGCTGTTGTATCCTCTCCTGCGGCAAGTCGGCCCACAGCTGTTGAAACAGGCCCTCGAAATCCTCCAGATTGACACTGTATGAGTTGACATCTGAGCTGATTCCACACATGTTCAATTGGGGAAAGATCGGGGGACCTGGCTGGTCACAGGATGACCTCAACATGACGCAGGCAATCCATAGACACATGTGCCGTGTGTGGATGGGCGTTATCTTGTTGAAAGACTGTACCAGGGTGCTGTCTCAGGAGGGGTAAGACATGCGGACGCAGGATGTCACTGTCGTAGCGCTGTGCTGTCAGGGTCCCCCAAATCACCCCTAGACATGACCTGAAGTCATACCCTATGGCTGCCCACACCATGATACCAGAGGTACACCAGTGTGTCTCTCCACAGCATTGGCAAGATTGGTCCTCTCCCCACGCCAGGCAATTGCACAATATGACCACCTAACCTCATGCAAACCCACAATGCGACCCTTATCAAACTCTGTCAAGTGCTGGTAATGCTGTCTAATGTGCCTACGAGGCATCCTCGTTGTCTAGTGACTAGACGTGCCAGCTCCTTGCAAATCGAATCATTTACATACCCATCACTGCTCTGCACATGTACCAAATTACATCCAAATCAGACCATCACTTCTGGGTGCTTAATATTTCTGAGTATATTCTTGATATTTACATTTTCTTCATTCACAATTTCCTGGAAAGAGTGTTAAGTGCCAGGTTTAAATGCAGCTAAGCAAAGTCGGTGAGTGGCATTAATGATTTATGTAGTTTTTTTTGTGGGACAAAGATACCGATCTTGCAGAAATACAATAGCGTTTGTCAAGGGGCTAGAAAAGTCAATAATATCAAAAAGGACTGGGACAGCAGAAAAACGGGCAGACTCTGCTTTGATGCCAGGGAGAAGCCAGAGGCCCAGGCTAGGCTATATGAGCAGGCCTTTGGATGCCTGGGTCCCGGCTGCACCCACTGATGTAATAACGAGCTTAGACTAACAGAGAGAGGACAGGAGTATATTTTAGCCAAGATTATATGAGATACAGAACAGCCTGTAGGTAGCAATCAACAGCAACAGAACCAGATACAATATATATCATTTATATATGTATAAATATGTACATTCTAATCCTCCAAAGTAAATAAATACTTAAATAAACAAGTTATAGAAGTTACAATATGCTTGTTTAAATAGTTTTAATAACATTTTCCAGTACCATAGCAACTGGTAAAATCGGGAAGTGTTGTTTTCCCTGAATCAAAGGTACAGTATCATCCTTACGTTATCGTGCAGTATTGTAGGATGTGCAGTACAACACAGTGCCGTGTAATGAAGGACAGCACACTACGCACATGACACACCTCACCTTGCTCCCAGGGTGTCGCTTTTGCCCAACTTGGCATTTGATATATTGTAACATATAGTACAGCAGCTGTGATTAACAACTTTTTTTTTTTTTTTTTTAAGCTTTGAAAGGTCACACTGGGGTCTGGGAACATTGTACCGCATGAACAGCAAAATGAAGACATTTCAATATGAAAGAAAGAGGAAATCGGTATAGCGTGTAAGGGGACCCCGCGCTAAGCTAACGGCGTCCTCGCTGCGGGCTTCTGACGCTATGCCTTGGTACTGTAACTGCAGCTTGTATGCACCGCAGCGACACACGCCCTCTAAGCTACATAATACTGCATTATACTGAAGGCCCTGTTTGCACAGCAGCGGCCATGATCATTGGTACTGACTATACTTACTCGACGGGAGGGAACGAAAGAATTCGACGTCCAGCTGTCGTCTTCCAACGGTAGATAACAGCTGTGGATATAGCTTATGAGCGACGTACGACTCGAGGGCTAAAGGGCAGAGAGGTGTGAGGGGCCACACGACTCTGCCTGGTCAGCCCTCACACCGAGACACACGCTGGGAAAACCGGCACCTAAAATTAACAATGACTACCCGTACTAAAGAAATTCATGAATAAATAAAACTACAAATAAATAAAATATGAATAAATTAAACAAAATAGACGGATCTTTCTCATAAATAAAACTAACGAGTGACGCACGTAAAGACACAAGAGACTGACTATGTACAACGCTTTACATTTCATGTCTGTGGGAACTCCGCATTCTTCGTAATCGTTGTGCGGAAACCGCGAAGGTGAAGGAGTGACCGGAGGGCCAAAGGCAGAGGGCATGCGGCCAGGTTGGGGGTCTTGGGATAATATGGAGCTCTAGGCGCCGGCCGCAGCCCTGTCAGAGTCACAGGAGATGATCGGCATCGCGCTCAAACACTGACTGTCCATTTGGTAGCTCCAAGTCGCTCTAACATGTACATATGATACATTGCTATGCCTGATGCTTTAAAATCATTCACTGGATGAGTGGCGTGTTGCCCTGTGTACTTGCTGTCCAGCTAGGCAGAAGTCCATGCTGTCTCACCCACAGCACCCACCCCCCAGAACTGTCAACCCATAATTCAGTGCAAGACCAACCCCCTTCATAGTTCGGTACAGGGTACAATAAATAAATATTTAAACAAAACAGTACAATACATTCCCTTGCCAAGATCTCAAGTCACCAACCCCCCTCCCCAATCTGAATCTCCCCCCCCCCCACATCCCCTCAGTGTGTGTCAGTCTCTCTCTCTGTCTCCTGGGGGCTATAGCCATTGGCAGGTGACAGCTGGGTGGCACTGCCGTCCAAGTCAACCTTTGCGATGGAGGAAGGGGCTGACGGAGGGGCTCGCGGGGCCCTGGTGAAGAGGCGAAAGGCCCCCCGGCAGATGAGGGAGAACCAGTAGACCTGGGGGGCCATCAGGAGACCTGCACCCAGGTTATACTGCCAGGGCACCATCAGCGGGACCATGTAGAATGGAATGGAGGCGTATCTGGAGGAGAGAAGCAACACAGCTGGCAGAGACGACCTTGAGCCAACGACCCTGGAAACCCGACCCCCTGGGGCAAGTGGAGCTACACCAACACCAGCATCTGCACCTCTACCCTGAAATCAGGAACATCTACACTAATCAGTCTGATCACGGCTAGAGGACAGCCAAATCCGAAGCCACCCGGCCCAGTCACAACGGGCTGGATCACGGGTGCAATCCCACAGGCACCAGCCTGGCATGCGGGGGGAGGGAGAGGGAGAAAGACGGAGAGAGACAGAGAGAGAGGAGTGAGGACGTACCTGCTGTAAGCGTAGTAGAGGTAGGGGAAGAGGAGGACTCGGCAGATGAAGAAAGTGACCAGCATTAGACATCCGTTAACTTTGTGAAGGAGAGTGTGTTGTTGCTTGTACTGAGAGAACGAGAGAGGGAAAGAGAGAGGGAAAGAGAGAAAGAGAGAGGGAGAGAAAAAGAGAGAGAGGCTCACAGGTGACATCTAAGTAAATGAGCAGAAGGGCGCAGCACAGCCCCCGATACTTCGTTAGGAAACAAACGCAAAGCAGATCAGACACACAGACAGGCGAGGTGTGGAGTCTCAGCTTAGGTTATTGTGATGCTTGATTCAGGCTGAAATTGATCTGGTTAAATTATACTCGCATGCAAGCCTGCAGGCAGAGCAGTTCAGCCGTCAGAGAATAAACAGCATGACAGGCGATTAGAATAACAGGACCGAGCACAACTGAATGGTGACCAGCCCCCACTTGCAGGATGTTCCTTGGGAGCGCAACCAGATGGCTCTGACCAGTAAGCTGGATCAGACCCGGCCGCCCAAGAAAGGGTGTCTATGGTCAACAGAAATGGGGAGGGGCTACTCTCCTTATAGCACCTGACATTAGCAGAGAACCTAATCTAAAAGGGCCCCCCCTCCAGTCAGACCTGCACTTCCTCCCGTCCCATCCTGGTGGGGCCGAGGCCACATTAACCTGACCTCCAGGATGACTTTGTCTGTTCCCGCACACCTGAAGCTCTGAGACGGCCTGTACTCAGGGGGTGGGGGGATGGGGGAGCATCACTGCACACCACAGCCAATCCGGAAACTCTCTACTTCACTTTCAAACAAAATTAGCAGCTAGTAAGACCTTGTCCGGTGCCAGAGCGCCATCCTGTGACGTAGCACCACTGAAGTGCAGAGCTCTCACTTTCTGAGGCATTTAAAGGTACACAGCGGGGGCTGGGGGTAGCGAGGGGGGGTGGTGACGAAGGCAGTCGACCACAGGCAACGAAAGGGGTGTAATTATGCACTTAAATATTTATGACCCACACAAGTAAACAGGTCCAGTCCGTTACAGGCCTGATGGATCGTTAAATGGGCAGTCATACTTAACCCAAAGACGTCGGACTCTTAAGGGAAGCGGCCCAGCTAGCGCATTAGCGCTCCAGCCTCTTAGTACATTTTATGGGTGCTGCAATGATCCAAATATGGAAGCGTGGACAAATCAGCCCGTCAATCACCCGCTGAGTGCCGCACTGACCAGAGCAAGCAACAGTGGTCGATTTTAATGCTATGCTTGCTGAAAAAAGGTCTGAACGCATAGAAGGGCGAGCAAGCGAGCGGGCGGGGGCACGCTAACTCTAACCTTACCTGGATGAGGATCTTCCCCAGGCAGACCGATGGGGTGCTGAGCTCAGCCAGAAACATGACGCCTTGAAAGTAATCACCTTTCCCCTGGCGCCAGAACTGAAGGGGAGAAGAGAGAGGGCCGCGTCAGGGCAGCAAGGGGGGGGGTCTGCACCTCTGGCCTCACCTCTGCCGTCTATTGCGACTGACCTCCAGCAGGGGGCGGCACTGAGTGCAGCTCTTGGCCACACTCACTCACTTGGGGGTCCCTCCAGGTCCAACCCATGACAACGCGCAATCTTAGGGTTATGCCAATTAACTGCCGTTTGCATAGAGACGGCAAGGAAGATGGTGAAGAGGGAGAGCGCATGTGAAAGGGAATACTAGACACGAGGGGGCTAAGGGCCAAGACTGGCCTCCAAGAACCAATCAGAAGCCTTAGAGCATGTCTGTTTGCATGCGAGTGACCTTACCCATCACCTCTGTTGTCCCAAAATAGCCCAGAACCACCTTATGCCTACAAATTGGCCTTTAATCTTACCCATCCATCCATCCATCCATCCATTCATCAGCACAATTTGAATTTCACTGCTCCTGTTTTGAAAGGTGGAGCTCTCCTTTCCAACATCCACACACATTTGCACAAGCACACACATTTTTATATTGGCCAAGTTGCATAAAGTAAACTCATTAAACTCCATGGTGACAGTTACCACAGAGACCGGGAAGCAGACGGTGACCATGACAACGTGGTGCAGCACCATGAGGAACTCCCGCCGCAGGTAGCTGCTGAAGGCGGTTCTGAGGTCCCTGGGAGCCGAGCCGTCTTCGTGACCTTTGACCCGCAGCTTGTGCCAGTAGCACATGAACATGGCGTAGATGTCGTAGACGAAGTACGGCACGGCGAAAAGGATGTAGGAGCTGGTCAGCCAGTGTCTGGGCCATCGAGGATGGAGATGGAGAGAAGGGGCATATTAACAGGGGCACGCAGGGGGCAGGACTCACACAGCAGCCCAACAATGTGTGACTGTCAACAGACACAATACTCTCAGGGTGAGGCAGAGGACCCACAGCCATAGTGTGTATGTGTGTGTGTATGTGTGTGTGTGAGTGTGTGTGTGTGCACGCACGCACGTGCATACCCGTCTTTGTCAATCAACGGCTGATTGGTTCCCTGAACAGACTGAAATTCTGCCAAATGCCACAGCCTCCTACCCCAGACTGAGTGATTTATCCGTCTTTCAGAGAGCAAGCCTGATTCAGCAGCTGGCTCCCCAGGCTAGTGAGACTCGCTCACGGTGATGGCTCAACGCCCCATGGAACTGCAGTGGACCGCTGAGTGGGACTTCCAGATAGGGCCCCCCCCCACGCTCTGCTCGTACGAGAAGAAGCCACAGCAGTCACCAGAAACCCACAGGAGGTGAGCAGGAAGATCAGGTGACACTCAGGAAGGCCCCAGGCAGCCAATCGAACCCGGGACCTATAAAGACAGTAGCTGTGGGCACATCTGTGTACCCCCTGCTCAGAGGTGTGGCACTTTGTTTGTATCGTTTCTTTTCTACTTCTTCCACCCAATCAACGAGCAGACACTGTACCACTCTGCCCACTCTCTCTCAGGAGTCAGCTTCCTCATAACCCTACTAGAACAACTCCAGGGCAAAATATTCATCCATGTGGGAACCTCTGGGAAATCCTACTATGTCAGTTTGCCGATCAGTGTGAAATAATACAATGTCCACTATGAAAATTCATCATTTCTGCCAGATTTCACACAAATCACCATGAAGAACCACATCAAATAAGCCTTTTGTAAGGTCTGTTTACCGTTACCAAAGGTTTTCAAATGACCATGACCAATTACTTTCACCCATTTATAAACATGAATTTGGATGAGCCCAGACCTAAGAGCGACCCTACAGAAACTGCACAACCTTCTCCTTCATTCAAAGTATGACACTATAATCACACTTCGGATTTCCTGGATAGAAACTAATTAGGTTGAGATTTTAATTAGATGAACAAGAACACAAGGTGAACGGGGTGGGAATACTATATTTGGTGACACACACACACACACACACACACACACAGACCAGCACACACACCCCTAAAATCGGCAGATTCAAACGGAGACCATGAGTCAGGATGCCACAGAAAATATCACAGACTCTCTGACAATCGGACAAAGGCCCCTATGATGTTTTTGACTCTCTCTGTGTTGCTGCATTGTCCCAGCACCCGGCCTAGCGCCCAGTCAGAACAGAGCTGAGCTTCACCTCCCCCCTCCACCAAGCCACACAACCACACCACCTGAATCGTCACAATCTCCTACATGGCGAATGTCACTGTACCCAGAACAGTTAAACCAGCGGCCGGTTTGGACTTTAGTAAGTTGAGTAAACGCTTTGACTTACTGATCCTCAATGATGTCCTCACAAGACGAGGCGATGATGTAACCAGCTGAAGATGCCATAATCGCCTGGATGGACGAGACCAACCTGGTAGACGGAGACAAGGAAAAGTGAAATCACGTGGGCAGCTGTTGTATCCATTATGTCAAGTTCATCAAAACATAGAATAACAAAGTAACTATTTAAAAAAAAAAAAAAACTAAGATGGTATGAGATATGGTTAATATGACTGAATTCCTAAACAAGCTTCTACGCATAGGATAGACCGCAGCCCACGGGGTTCCATAATTTGCATGCTGGTGCTCTGTTCACCTGGCAGAAACGATGACAGCGTCCCCCTCGCTCCATCGCAGGCCCGGGACGCGTTTCAGGCATCGCTTCGACAGCACAAACAGGCCCGGGAAGAAGAAGGATCCGGCAACCAGGATTGTCAACATGGTCCCACGAGGTCCGTCCCGGGAGAGAAATCCAATCTACCGGTGCCCGCTCACCGTGTCCCTGGTAAGAGGCCGCTTTGATGGCCTTTTTGTACCTTCTCCTTGCGTCCCCGGGGTGAACTTTCAGAAAGATGCTCAGAAACAGACCCTTTCTAACAAGAATGCTGGAAGAACAGCGACCCTCAGAGAATGGCAGCTGTGTTTAATAAAAGTTCTTTTCCAGTATTTCAGTCTTCTGTGAGCTCAGGAGGAACGTTACATTTACATTCAGTCTCTCCAAAATCTCATTTTGTTTCAGAGACACAGTGACAAAAACATTCTGCTCTTCAGCTGGTTTCAGATAATTATACAATTAATTAAACTTTTATTTTAAAGGCTCTAAAGGCTTGGCTCCTAATGTCCCTAAATCCCCTCCCACCCCCCCCACCCCCCACCCAGGGTCAGGACTTGATAATCCTTAGTGATGTCAAACACTGTTTCGAACTACAAAGGACAAAAAGACAGACAAGGAGAAACAGAAGATGAACTCAGCAGAGAAAAGTGACATCTTATTTACAATACTGTCACCTCTAACTCAAACTTTTAACGCGGCAGAAATTTGACATTAAATCTATACGAGTAATGTATAATGTATACACTCACCTAAAGGATTATTAGGAATACCATACTAATACGGTGTTTGACGCCCTTTCGCCTTCAGAACTGCCTTAATTCTACGTGGCATTGATTCAACAAGGTGCCGAAAGCATTCTTTAGAAATGTTGGCCCATATTGATAGGATAGCATCTTGCAGTTGATGGAGATTTGTGGGATGCACATCCAGGGCACGAAGCTCCCATTCCACCACATCCCAAAGATGCTCTATTGGGTTGAGATCTGGTGACTGTGGGGGCCATTGTAGTACAGTGAACTCATTGTCATGTTCAAGAAACCAATTTGAAATTATTCGAGCTTTGTGACATGGTGCATTATCCTGCTGGAAGTAGCCATCAGAGGATGGGTACATGGTGGTCATAAAGGGATGGACATGGTCAGAAACAATGCTCAGGTAGGCCGTGGCATTTAAACGATGCCCAATTGGCACTAAGGGGCCTAAAGTGTGCCAAGAAAACATCCCCCACACCATTACACCACTACCAGCCTTCACAGTGGTAACAAGGCATGATGGATCCATGTTCTCATTCTGTTTACGCCAAATTCTGACTCTACCATTTGAATGTCTCAACAGATATCGAAACTCATCAGACCAGGCAACATTTTTCCAGTCTTCAACTGTCCAATTTTGGTGAGCTCGTGCAAATTGTATCCTCTTTTTCCTATTTGTAGTGGAGATGAGTGGTACCCGGTGGGGTCTTCTGCTGTTGTAGCCCATCCGCCTCAAGGTTGTGCGTGTTGTGGCTTCACAAATGCTTTGCTGCATACCTCGGTTGTAACGAGTGGTTATTTCAGTCAAAGTTGCTCTTCTATCAGCTTGAATCAGTCGGCCCATTCTCCTCTGACCTCTAGCATCAACAAGGCATTTTCGCCCACAGGACTGCCGCATTACTGGATGTTTTTCCCTTTGCACATCATTCTTTGTAAACCCTAGAAATGGTTGTGCGTGAAAGTCCCAGTAACTGAGCAGATTGTGAAATACTCAGACCGGCCCGTCTGGCACCAACAACAATGCACGCTCAAAATTGCTTAAATCACCTTTCTTTCCCATTCTGACATTCAGTTCAGGAGATTGTCTTGACCAGGACCACACCCCTAAATGCATTGAAACAACTGCCAAAATAATTGCATTAATGAGAAATTGAACAGGTGTTCCTAATAATCCTTTAGGTGAGTGTATATAGCATTCCTTAGAGATGAACATATAAACAAAACACACGCATAGTATCCCCGGCTCGCGTATTTCGGTGAGGCAGTAATCGCCGGTAACCTTGGGATTCCTCCTCACGGCAGCATCTTCACACACAGCGTTGGGATTTGGTGACCAACCGAAATAGATTTGGCACGGATTACGGAGCAGGAGATTTAAAAAGATTACCGAGATGGAGATAGTAACAGACAGAGACGGAGAGACGAAGAACCCACGACGGCGGCCGACAAAACTGAGGAAGCCCCAATATAATAAGCCGCATTATTGTTCCTGCGGGTCGGGGCGGCAGTAATACGGTCGCGATAAACGTCCACAGGTTCACGCATCAGTCACACGTGTTACTACGGGACAAAAATACGGTCAAATTCTATAAAAAATAACCTAGATATGACACTATCTATGGATCTAAGCGTGCATCTCTTTCGTTTAAAGACAATATATACGTGCAAATTTGTAGCAGGGACAGCTGCACCATCAAAATGATTAAACGCATTTAGATGTAAGTAGACAATAGCCGCACTTTTGCGCCCCGAATATATAACGCCTCGGGCTCAGGGATAGAAAGCCCCGGCGGACCGCTGTTCCAACAGGCGCTCCGATGCTGTCAAAATGCGCAATGCGCTAGCCTGCTAGCTAGCCAAAACCTCGGCTGATGGACACCGGTGCAGCAGGGCTGCAACAAATCAATCCGGCCGCAACAATGACGACAAGGGCGCCTGGCCAGCAGCGAGCCGCAGGTCCGTCTGTCCCGTACAAGGACCAGCCGTGATCGGTGTTGGCTGCAGGCTGCGATTTCAGCACCTGGCTACGCACCGCCTTGTCCTCCCGTTAACAAGTCTGCTCCGTGTAGCTAACGGACCCAGACAGGCAGCTTCATCACGCATGCAGGCTGGTGGGCAGCCGGACAATGAAAGGAGCTCTTGACGCACGGTCTTTGGAGCAGCACCGGGGCCCTCCGCCCTCACAGACCCGCACCCGTGTAAATCCTCCGGGCGCCGAGGTGCAAACAAAGCCGCGGGTGGGGATGCGGGAGAGGCGTGTTGAAGCGGCGGGGAGATGGGGGTGGGGGGGTATACACGGGGTCTGCATGTACGGGGACAGCAGCACCGGGGCATACGCTCCGCGGCCCATCGGAACCGGGCGCTAGCCAACAGCTTTCGGACTCCCGGCTATACACAAGGCTAAGTCCACGTGGGCTGCCGTTTTAACTAAAATCGCCGTTTACCTTTTGTTTTGGACCGGGAATCCTTAGCGGCTCGGGAAAACGCCAGCCGACGGGAGGTCTGCTTAAAGCGCGTTGCGTCCGGCTGCGGCTCTGTGCGGCCGCTCCGTAGCGCTCTTCGCCAGCTCTCGGTGCTGATTCGGCGCTTAGGCTCCTCTGCCCATGTCCGTCCGGCCCGTCGCCACCATTCCGTTATCGATCGGGCTTCTGCATCCGGCAGCCGCACGGCGCGCGCGCTTCGGCCGGCCGCTTTGATGGCACGCGCATATTCCGCGCGCGGCCCCGCGTTGATGTATTTTCGCTACCTGTTATTTCGGTTTAAATGTTATTTATTCACACGCTCAGGGCCGTGCTGTACCCCCACGCGCTGCTAAAGCAAGCACCTCCGGGCTGCCCATCCGTCTCCGCGGCTCACGGCAGCATGCCCTGCTTTTTCTCTCTCTCCTCTGTCCCCTCCCCTCCGCCGCCGTCGTCGTTTAGCTAACAAATGAGGGGGGGTGGTGAATGCCGAGAGGGGGGCTTCATCCAATGCCGAGCCGAAGTGACGACGACCGCTCCACTGTAGAACCGCTTCCCTTTCACCGAAAAGGGATCACCGATGTCAACCGATGGACTTAATGGTAACGGGGGCGTCGGTACCTCGCGTCGGGGCACTACCTGGCTTAACACTCTCACCTGGCTCGCCGCTTTAGAATGAGGGAGAACCAGGAGACGTCGATAAGGCCCGGCTGGGGATGACTGTAGCGCCCTGTCTCCCAACTAGGGTGAAAGTTACTGCATTAAAAATCAGCGAGCAAGAACAACCGTTGATTAAGTGTTTTGGAAATGTACCTATACTCCGTACGTACGTGTGTGTGTTTTTTATATATATATATATATATATATATATATATATATATATATATATATATATATATATATATATATA